CAACTACCTTTCTGAGACTTATTATCAGCTAGAAAAGTGTTGCAAGCTTTACTGTCTTTTTAAAACTCTGAAATTTCTATAGCGCTTAAAAGCTTGAGCACTTTAAAGAATCATCAAGTAGTAGAAGCAACGGTAAACTAGATTTATGTTAAAAATATGAAATGTGTCGCTTAAGCTGTGGAGAGTGTCCAGAGACGAATTCATCTTTTGCTTCCCATTTACTAATCGACATCCTACACGAGTGTCCAAAAGAGAAAAAATTGACATTGAAAAAATTGGAAATTAATAGAGCAAGACAAAATCCCTGCGCTCTGCACCCTACTTAATTTTCTGCAACCTAAACATTGAAGACGACCTTTTTATCTAAATTCCCAAATTTAAAAACCGCTTAATCCGATCGGATCTATGGGTTCGACTTGTTTATTGTATGAAACTGTATTTTATTGTTAATGTTGTGAACACCACGTAAGTTTGGTTCTACTAATATGCGCACATAGTATCGAACGTCTGATGATGATTAAGAGCGAAACCCGGATTACATATTAAATAGCCACATCCATGAGACTTTTACTTTTATTAGTCTTTTTTAGAGCTCTTTGAGCCGAGTGGCACAAACACAGCCAGCTTATTTTAGCTTATACACCTAAATGTTGCCTTCAGATCGATTTTAACCTTCTTCGTTAAGTTTGCCTGTATTGGGTTTTACCCCAAAGCCGTAGGACGTAGGGAATTTGACTCAACAGAAATTTTTTATGAGTAATCAAGGATTCTAAATAACACAGCAAAAAACAAAACTACAACATTTTCACTAACAGAAGAAATATTTTTTGAAATTCAACCAAAACTTGCAAAATTCCTAACTCGAACAAATCTCAAAAATTGTCAGCCGAAGCGACACACCATGTAATCAAAATGAAATAGTGAATGAAAGCCCGAAATCCGTAACACCGATAGCCGGTCATCTGCTTGTAAGAAGGGCCTCACCATCGACCATCAGCCTACTTTTTTGATTCGCTTCATTATAGAGAACATTGAACCTAAATTTCGAAGCTTGTCTCATCCTACGGGATATGTTATATGCCACTGCATTCAGCATATGCCATCATATAAAATGTTCTCAAACCAGGTAGTACGCCATGGGCCTGAACACAACAGCTGCGCCCTTTTAAAGAATAAACTTTGGCCAGCTGTTTAGGTGCAACAAACCAGCCAAGTACTGGACTGTCTCGATGCTGTCACAATGAAATAATGATCTGAATGACTACCGTTAGTCGCATAATAGCAAAAATGTATTTATAAAGAATATATGCGCTCACATACATAATGTCCTTAATGATATCGATCAAGCGAAATTATGTACTTTTAATGAAGTTTATTCAGCTTTTTCAGCGATAAGAACAGCAAATATGGCGTTTTGGTACACCATGTAATATTTAGCGTTTCAAACGGCATTTTATCTGTTTCAACAGGCGTTTATCAAATTTACCCTTTTCATCAGATCCCACACTCCACTTCATTGTATCTCACACACCGCAAGAAGTTCAACAGGCAATTTTTACCCAGGCCCTGGCAGTTTGTTTACCTAAACCCTCCTAGCATAATATTATGGTAATACACCAGTTAGTAAAAGCAATTTTGAAAAAGAACTAAAACCAAATTAAACCCGTGACACTTTCTATATCCGCAATTATTCACTTTTGTACTGAGGTAAGTTGGGTGAGTTTTGCAAGCTTTCTAGGACACCCTGTATGACCAAAAGATTGTCTTTTGATCACAACTTCGCAAAAAAGAATTTTTATTGGATTTTCCTTCAACCTACATGATGGTGCGACACTCTGTACACCGGCAATTATCCCCTTTTATACTGAGGTAAGTTGGGAGAGTTTTGCGCGCCTTTTTGGTCACGATGTATAGCGAACATATTGTCTTTTGAAGACAACTTCGCAAATAACACAGAATGTCTCTGAAAGAGCATCTGAACAACAGCAAAAGAATATCTCCGCTTCAACTTGCCTCTTTTGGGCCCAACCTTCTGATTGGGTATTTTGCCTACATTTTTTTATAGCGAAATGTCCTCGCGTCTTATTACAGATTAATAAAGAACGAGTGGTCTTATTTCACAATAAAGAACGAAGTCTTCATCAAAGGTTAAGTGAGTATAAATCGGCATTACACAACGTGTAGCAAAAGGGAAGGCCAATCTGTTAAACTGCATCAATTCAAAACAGACATTCATTAACTGTTTTCATGAACAAAACATCAATTAAGTTTTTTTGCAATATCTTCTTCTTGTTCCTCGTACGTTAGGACTCAAAGTCCTGTGTTTTTCTTCAACTTCAACTGTTTTTCTTCAAACCTAGTCCTGGGATGCTGATGTCCAGCTTTCGTACTCTCCACGCTCTTCTCCTTGCTGTGGTCCATCTTACAACATCCGAAACCTTACAGGTATCTCTAATTTCCTCACTCCTTTTCATATCCTATAGTGTGTGTCCTGTTATGGATCTTAGGACTCGCATTTCTGTTGTTCTTAGCAAGCGTTTGGTTGTTGTGTTTTCCGCTCTTGTTTCTGCGGCGTATGCACTGGTCTCACGCACGTTTTGTAGATTCTGACTTTACTCCCTATACTCATGTGCTTGTTTCTCCAGATGATGTCTCGTAAGTACCCCGATATTAGAGCGGCTTTTGATGTTTGATTCCTTACTTCCTCCTTTAGATTCCTGTTACTCGTGATGTTTGCTCCAAGATATTTAAAGGTCATCACCTGTTCTACACTTTGGTTGTAAACGGCGAGTTTGCATCTTCGGGGCTCTTTGGATATAGTGAGTGATTGTGTTTTCCGGGTAGATATTTCCATTTTATATTTATTTGTAGTTTGTTCGAACTTATATAAGAGTCTTTGTAGGTTGTCTTCATCCTCGGAGACTATCACTGCATCATCAGCGTAGCACATTATTTTTATTTCTGCATTTCGCATTCGATATCCCCTTCCAATCTGTTTTGTTTTTGTAATTATTTCATCCATGATGATGTTAAACAATATAGGGCTTAGGCTGTCTCCTTGTCTAATTCCTGTGTTGACGGGTATTCTCCTTGTTGTTCTATTTTCTGCTTTTACGAGTGTGTGATTGCCGGTGTTTAGCTCTCTGATGATGGACACAATATTCTGATGAATTTTCCTTTCTTCTATGAGTTTTATGACGCAATATTTTATTGCAATATATATTGCAATATCATTTCAGAATATAAAATCCTCAGCAAGGAAACAGACAGCAAAAGCTGCAGATTTTGCAAAAAGCCCAAAAATGCTCAAAAAGGATTAGTGGCATCAACTAAAAAAAAATCAATCGATTCCAGCTCCAAGACCAAGTACCAAGACACTCCAGAATCCCTCCCTTGCCCCAAGTGGTTGCTGCAGCAAAAGATACTCAGGGCAACTTAAGTCTTTCACAGGTACAAATCCATCAAAATATATAGTACACTTCTCCCGATCAAGGCGGAAACACACCATAAGTGCGTCTTCGAATACCCTCTAAGTGATAGTTCTTGATTGCATTTCGATAAAAAAATTCGTTCTTTACTGTTAAATAAGATATAAATATGTAATAAAAAACGTGAGGAAACTTAGTCTTTTTTAACAGACAATAAATTTTGAGACAAAATAATCAGCAAAAAGGTTTTGAATACTTGCACCCGCCTCAACCATATAGAAGTTTTACAAAAAATTTAAACAATTTCGAAACCTTGGTCTATAGAAAACCTACTCATACTAACCGATATTTGAATTTCGACTCAAATCACCCGATAATGGTTA